TTTTTTTTTTTTTTTAAAGATGTTCCTACATTTCGGTGTATACTGCAGTCGTCATTTTCAGGGCGGTGAAATCCTGAAAGCTGAACTTGTTCATTAGGCACTGGCCATGAAAACAAGGCAAGCAAAGAGCAAACTCCATGGAACAAAATTCTTCTTCAGAAAATACTGGTCCTTCTACTGATGAAGAAGTACTGCGCCTTTTATGGACTCGAAGGTTTCACTCTAGTTTACACAACGGCACACAACTTTTTACCTTATTCGGAGCCAAATGAATCCAATGTGCACCATAAAAACATATTTATTTAATGCCTGATTTACTGCACACCCTATCTAATTCCTAGCCCCTACAAGTGGTCTGCTCCCTTCAGATTTCCCAACTAAAATTGTGTCCTTCTCTCGTCTCTCCCATACGTGCTACATGCCCCACCAATCTCATCCTTTTTGATTTGTCTCGTGTAAAGTACAATTTGAGAATCTTTTTGTTTGGCAGTTTCTCTGGCATTTTGTTACTTCTTCTGGACCCAAATATTATCCTCAACACTCTGTTCTCGGAGGTAACCCATTTCTTCCCCAGGATGGATGTCGGGGTGGGTGCAACAGCAAAGGCGAACCAAGCGGCCTTGTAGGCCTGCACGATATTAGGGGCAGCACATTTTATGAACGTTTTTCTTTTCCCTTTTGGTTCTTGTTAAGTGGAAATTATTTTTGTGCTACTGTTTTGTTCATATCGTGACCACTAGTCGTCAGTAATCCGCACGTGCTATGCACGTATGAATGACAGTGTTTTAAACACTGTGATGCCAAGTAACAGTTTTCCTGAGAGTGTCTGGGAAGTGTTATTAATTGTGTAAATATTCTGAGGAAATAGATCTGTTTTTTTTAATGGCGTTGCGATGGAATTTCTCATCACCGGTGCAGGCCTTGGACAGAACATAACCTAAACATTTGTTACACAGTTGGCCACTGTCAGCCAGACGTGGTGAAGGCGGCATGTGACCAGTTGGCAGTCCTCAATACAAACAACCGTTTTCTGCATGACAATCTGGTGATCTGCGCTCGTAAGCTGACTAGTCTGATGCCCGCACCACTATCAATCTGCTTCTTTGTGAATTCTGGCTCGGAAGCAAATGATTTGGCACTTCGCCTGGCGAGGAGTCACACCAAGAACCATGACATCATTACTCTGGATCAGTATGTATTTATGGTTAAGCAGTATCTGAACCTTACGGTTAAAAGTTAACATGGCATCCCTTTTATTACTAAATTTGAGAATTTGAGATTTAAGGTTCTCACTGGGGTGACAATGAAGACTTCTGTCTTCTTGAATGTGATGCCATGTTAGGCCACAACTGCCCCCTTTCATATCCTTTACAATTCATCAGTCTTCCTGCCATTTAACTCTACACAGAATTAGTACTGTTACAAAGACAAAAACAACTCCATCTAGTGTGACTATTTAAGTTTCATCACTTGAAAACTCATCACCCTTACATGTTTCGATCCGTAGTCTAGTCACACTAGATGGAGTTGTTTTTGTCTTTGTAATTGTTAGTGTGATGGACCAGAATGAAACAAATCAAATTAGTACTGTCATCATCATAAAGTAACCCATAAAAGATACAAGTGACACCATAACTCAGAAGAAAGTAATGGTGGTGCTGTTGTCCCACTCTTTTGTGTCATGAATTACATAAGATACAAAATTTGTCAACCATAGTCTTCCACTCTAAGGGAAATTTCAGATTGTAAGTGGTTTAAACGTTGTTCATGACAATATTTGGTCAAAAGAAAGAGTGACTGGTTGAGGAAAGGAAGGACGTATATGATATAATGAGGAATTCTGTAAGTCATACATGTTGGTTTGTGAGAAAAGATCACCATTGCTAGAACCTCAAATCTCATAAATGAATATTTGCAGATAGTGGTGAGGCATAATACAAATGTACTTATTATTTTTCTTATTATTTTTGTTACAGTGCATACCATGGCCACCTTACGTCCCTGATTTCTATCTCACCTTATAAGTTTAATCTTCCAGGAGGCAGTGGGAAAGCAGAATGGGTTCATGTGGTAAGGATCTCATTATTTAATAATAATTGTATTCCATTTTTACCTAATTTTCTTTCCCTGTATTGGCAGCCATACTCTCAGAATTATTGATTTTAATCTATGGAAGATACGTACAGTAGTTCGAAAGTACTTATACAACAAACCAAAAAATGTGTAAACCCATATGAAATAATCACTCAATGAGCTAAAAGCGAAGCATAAATTTCCATTAACTTCATGGTTGAAAACAGTCATTGTTTTAATGTTAGTGATTGCAATGGATTCAAGCTAATGAAGTGGTAATCTAATGAAGTATGGGAACCTCCCACAGTGCATAACAGACAACTCCCGCAGTGCATGGAAAACAGGCAGTATTTATACATCGCTTGCAGCCTGGTTCCCTAGACACCAACACAAGCGCTATACCATCAGCGCTCATAATCGCAGCTCCATCGCCAGCTCCACCCAGTGGTAATGGTATAAAAATGCGCGCCTCCAGCTGGCTACCATACTGGCTACTGGCTGCCATATTTGTATGTTTATGATTTAGTTTGTTCCCTGAAGGGAATATAAACTCTCAATGAAGTGTAGTCAATGCAGCTGATCTTAAAAATGTGTTCACAGACATGACATTATCATGTTAATTTTGTAACATTATTATTCTATAGTTCATGTGAACAAAAATTGGTTAATTTTGCCTCCTGTTACTTCCTCATTCTTATATGCAAACACTTTTCTCAACATTGACAACGTGTATTATTCTGTTTAGTTGGGAGAACTCGTTTCATATCCACGTTGAAGAGATGTAGTCGCAGTAACTACGGTAAAGTTCCGCTGATATGAACATATTGTCATGCAGGCGTCCTGTCCAGATGTGTACCGTGGGAAATACAGGGCTGTGGACTATCCGGGGCAGGATATGGGCAAGATGTACGCAGATGAAGTGCTTGACATCTGCAAGAAAGCACGTGGCGGTGGACACACTATTGCAGCATTTATTGCAGAGAGTCTTCAAAGCTGTGGGGGTCAAATTATTCCTCCAGATAATTACTTGCGTAATGTGTACAGGTAAAGGAAAGGAAAGAGCTTAACCCTTTCAAAGCATGAAGTTGTTTATAAAATGTTTAAAGATTAAGCTCATACCATACAGAAAATACACTGTTTCTCCATTACAAAGTCCAGCTGATTGATGGTGATTAGGGAAATATTTGCTGTTTATTCTGATAATCATGTGAATCACATAAATACACTCTGAAGATATTTAACATATACATAAAAGAGGTAGATGGGTTAAAAATAATTTTTATGAGGTTATAAATGGTGATTTTTATATGAACAGGGTGTCCCAGGAGGAAAGGTACTATTCTTGGAGGTCATGTATCGGTCATTCTAAGAAAAGATTATATATGTACAGGTGTCCTATTCTGAAAGGGTTCCGAGATATAGCTACTTTACTGTACAGTACACTGTACAGATGAGCAACACGCCATGTCCTCACATGAGCTGCAAAGTTCATTGATGTTGACAGAGGAATTTTCAAAAACGTATTACACTAGGTAGACTGTACCAACTTTGTCACTTGAACAATAAATTTTGGTTTTAGAAACAGTACATAATATCTCTTTCTTATCAACAGTTCTGGAACTGTACAGTGAAATCTTGGAAACCATTCGGAATAGGACACGTATACACATATACTTTTTTGCTTAGAATATCCGATGCTATGATCTCCAAGAATATTGACCTTTGCTTCTGGAACATTTTATACAAGTATATACAGAGTAGAAGTTTCAGGCACCATGTGTTTCTGAAACATCGGTACTTATATATCAGGCTACATGGCATCACATTCCAGAAGTACATATCCAGATATGTTAATGAGTTGGTGTTGATCTGTACAGATATGTGAGAGAGGCAGGTGGAGTCTGCATTGCAGATGAGGTGCAAGTTGGATTTGGTCGCGTTGGCAAGCACTGGTGGGCTTTCCAACTTCAGGGGGAGGATATTGTTCCTGATATTGTGACAGTGGGCAAACCAATGGGCAATGGACACCCTGTAGCAGCTGTCATTACAACTCTGGAGATTGCTCAAAGCTTCAAGGAGAGTGGCATTGAATATTTTAATACGGTAAGTGCCTCATGCAATGTTAAGCTTGGTCCAAAAATCAGTTCATAAAATTTGGAAATTGCATGTGTTAACTTTCAGTTGCGATTCTGTTTCTCTGATAACGATTTATAGCATACAAGTGACTCTCATTATATATGCTTTTGTTATCCGTATTTTTGAATATGTTTGGTTTTATTTTAGTTCATAGCGAACATCAGTGTACTGTCTGTCGCCATTGTGGAAGTTGCCATGCATGCCCAGTGAGCCGTGCAGCCCTAAGTTGCCTCACCATTTTGTTTCAGTCCATCTTTCCCTCCCACCCCTCTCTGTCACCACTGTGCTCAATGTTGAATCAGTGCATTTCCAACTTTACATGTTTTGAATGTATGTGGGGATTTTCAGAACTGCAGTGTTTACGTATAATGAGTCAGCTGTATTATGAATTTTACAATCTTATGCCTGTTGCTACTCATATTTAAGCAAGTTTAGTCCTATTCAGATGAGCATATAATGCATACCCTGGTCAAAACAACTGCACATCAAACATGTGCTGTGTGTCTTGTATTTTCTGTGACCCACTTCAGACCGAATGTAAAGGACCCAAAAGTATTAGGAAATTCACTTTGTACCCTTGCCAGTATGTGTGGGAGCCATGACTTTTAAGATAATGGGCATATATTGCCGCACACTTTTTGGGTGTGGTGTGAACCCTCATTCCCAGCCTGTTTTGTTTAATTGTGCACAGTGCAGTTCCTTCTTATGGTTTTAACTACTATGCATGGTGAGAAGAACCATATCCTGAATGAAGAATGGGTGTTCTGCTTGTGTTACATATTTTGAGGTGGTAATCTATGTCGTTTAATCAAAGCCTGTGTGATTGTATTGCATTGCAGTATGGTGGAAACCCAGTGTCATGTGCGGTTGCCATTGCTGTAATGGATGTTCTGGAACGACAGAGGCTTCGTGAACATGCTACTAGAGTCGGAAACCATCTACTCAATTCTCTGCGACAACTGGCACTAAAGCATCTCATTATTGGAGATGTGAGAGGTGTGGGGCTATTTATAGGCATAGAATTGGTTGAAGACAGAGAAAACAGGATACCGGCAACAGCAAAGGCACAGCATATAGTGTCAAGGTAAGTTCATGGCAAAGTCACCACGGTTATAATCTTCAATTTCAGGAACATTTCCACTTTTTAAGTAGTGACTTTTCCAAAGGTCGTTTTCATCTCATATGTGTTCTCCCACTACTCTGTTTTTATAATTGATTTCAGATTGTTCCTGCTTTTTTAAAGATTTGTTATCATAATTTCGTTTCATGTAGGTTGGCAGACTGTGCGTCTCCAGTCTCTTCTTTCTTCCCACAATCTTTCCTATTTAGTTTCTGTTCATCTCTTTCTTCTTATCTTGATGTCTTCCAATAAACTGACCAAATCTTCTTGTTCATGTCATTCCATGGCTATTTTTCCTTTTCTTTTATTCCTGATGCCCTTTGCAATACACTTGTTCTAACTATTTTTTCTACAGGGCCAAACCATTATAACTCTATTAAAAATTGTCAATTAATGAAGCACAGGGACAAGTTTACCTTTCTTATGCAGACCTTCTAAATATAAGATGCTGTAAAATGCTATGGCCCATGTAGCTGTAAAAATACATCTTTTTTTGCACTCAGATATGAATAATGAGTCCTAATGGCTCCACATTTCCTTTTGTAGGATGAAGGAAGAATATATACTTGTGAGCTCAGATGGTCCTGACAGGAATGTACTGAAGCTGAAACCTCCTTTGGTTTTCTGTCAAGAGAATGCTGACCATTTTGTTAAGATTTTGGATGAAGTTCTCACAGAAATGAATGATGATGAGGTTAGTGGAAGTTCATGATTTATTGCAGTGCACTGGTGTCAGAATGTCAGCTTTACATGGAATTGAACAATCAGGTCTCAGAAATATAACTGAATTTTAATTGCCACTCAATAAAATATAATTTTCTGTAGTTTCATAAACACTCAGCACTATTAATTAATTAAATGGCATATTTAAAACTAATCATTGAATGTTCAGTGAAGTACATGAAAGTCTTGTCTGTAAAATCTTGTGGGAAGAGATCACATGAGAGATGTAGATGTGGAAGGGAAGATAATAGTATAATCACTTTCAAGGTAGTGACTGTCAACATGTAAAATTAGCTGAACTGCTGAAGATAAGTGCCAGATATGGCAGTTTTTTTGACTACTTCTATAACAGAACATTATTTGTCAGTAGAACAAAAGTCAGCTTTTCAAGGAAAGATTGATATTGTATAGGTAGTTATGAGAATTTATTTTGTTTTGTGTAACAAGAACAATTTTGTTTTGGAAGAAATAGAATTGAATTTGATGTAAACAAAGACATTGTGTATCATAAGATTAATATATTGTGATAAAAATTGAACTCCATTGAGCCAAGGAGAGGTAATGATTTCTACATTACTAACCTATTTGGCAGTATAGAATGATGCCTTTTTTGGGTTTCTGTTGTGACCAAATGTGCTTGAATCCTATTCAGAGCTGTACTGATGTGTTGCATTATTCTTGTAGGTTACAATGGAAGCAGGTTCTCCCCAGAGACAAAAGAAGGCAAATCATCCAGAATTTGAGAATTCACCAAATGAGAAAAAGATTAAAATTGATGATCAACAGTCAGAGAAGATCATAAAAGTCTGAAACAGACTTCTGCATCTCTCTGTCATATATTATGTCTTAATTTGTGTAATGTTTCTTCAGTTGGTTACTGAATGGTGCTGTCAGTATCAACATTAGAACATGATGTTATTTATATGACTTTTACAGAAACAAATATTTTTTCTTTTATTGTGACAACATAATTTTTTATCAAGTTGAATACATGTGAGTATATAGTACAAATTATACCCTTTTAACAGGAATTTGATATAGCACATTAATCTTTTGCCATATGCAGCACAGTTGAATGCAGTTAATTTGAATGTCCTCCACCACATTTAACTTAAAAAAACTATGTTAAAAAAACATAGTGTATAAAGGAAATGTAAATTATCAGGGTAAAGTTAATTTATATAGTACAGAAAAGGGTTAATGTGGCTCAACTCAAGATGGTAATGTTTGTTATATTTTCTCAGTATTAAGCTATGTGTGTACATGAACAGTGATTTGTAAAATTAATTTTATTAATATCCCTTGTTATAGATGTGGACAGTACATCAGCTCTTCATAGATTTCAAGAAAGCCTATGATTCATTTAGGAGGGAAGTATTGTACAGTGTTCTCATAATTTTTGGGTGCACATGAAACTGGTTAGGCCCCAGTTACTTTACCCCCTGAGGAAAAAGCCTCGGGTACCCATTGGAGAAGAGCCTGGGTGGGCCCTGTATCTGGTCTCTGCACTGTGAAGTAAGGAAAGAGCTCTTGCTTCTGTTGGGAATTGAACTACAGCCATCCAGCTCTTAGCCTGTTGGTATACCGACTGAAGAATTATCTGGTTATTGATGTAAGAGACAATAAAGCCTATGAATCCTGAGCCAGCTGATTTCAGTCCATGTGCCATTCCTGTAAGCCTGCAGCAGTGTTCCTCAATTGATCAAGACACAAGTTTTGCTCATTACTTTCATTTTATAATAAATTATCAGTAGCATTAAGTCATACCAGAGGGCACTGCTGTACCAGATTTTCTTCTAGGTCACCACCTTAAAAGTTTATTCATAATTGTTTGCAGTATGCCTTAGTAGTTTCCCTGACAGCATTATTTGCAGTATCTTGTTATTGAACCTATAAGTATTAACTATATAAAATTTAGTTTTTACGTTGTGGCTGTCTGGTTGATCGCACAAAATAATTATGTAGATGATACCAGTGTTCTGGTAGAAACTTCTGCTTCATCAAGGTAGAAGAGTGCAAACTGTCAACCTGCCACAAATCTCATTTTATTTCCTACTGGCGATGGCCAAATAGCCTCATCATGAGTCTTATTAAACATTATTAAATAGAATTGTAAGAACCCAAAACAAATACATACCCTCATCATCTCTACAGATTAGAAAATTTCTCATGTTAAGTTTATTACTAAGGAGTTTAGTTAAGGAACTATATTATTGTAGAATTATCACATGAAGTCGCAGATATAGTATACTGTACTACTATTTAATTCTTTTTTAGATTGTTTTTAGAAGTGTTATAAAATATAATGAACATGTTTTCAGGTTTAAGTGGCTTCATGTATTACCCCTTCAGAAGTTAGCTGCAATTATGCGTACTGTTTAATATAAGAAAGATGGACGGTAATTCAAGTGAAGGCTAAGGGTAAATTGAAAGGGCCATTAAACCGTAGAAGTTTATTTTAAGAAGTGGCCCTTTTCCTCTGCAGTGTTTCTTTGGGGGTTTCGTTTTGTTTTCCTCAACATCTTTGTCCGCTTAGTGATTATAATGGAGATACGATGCTTTCTTTAAGGTAATAACCGATTTAAAAAATGAAAATTGGATTACAGTATGTCTTTCAAAGAATTAGGACGCCATGAAAGATTTAAGAGGTTAAGTAGTGTCACTGTACTTCTGTCTGAGAGATATTTTATATGCATAAAAAGAGAGATGACATGCAAGAATATTTTCTATACTATATTCCCCCTTAAAAGACTGTAAATTACCAAAGCGATGGAAAATGTAACTCATAATTTTACACATTTTTCGACAATGCGAATGTAAGCTTCAATAAATGTCTAAGAGGTGGCAGTGATTGCACAATTGCTCGTGCTGCTTTCTGCGGGAAGATTTAAACTAAATGCATTTTAAGCGCAAAAAGACCGAGAAAAAAAAAACGGGATAGAAAATAACCAATCAAAAGAGATGAAATTGGTAGCAGATAGGTAGCGACAGGTAGTGTGTCAGTCGGCGAAAGCGGGCGGTGTGAATGTTCGTGTGATTTTGTAAGCAGTATTTTATTGTGAATGGTTATTACTGAATCGCAGTGGATATAAACAGTATCTATTATTTCCGAAGCTATGTTCCATGAACGTAACCAGAGACATATATTTCGTGTGAAACAACGAAGGCAAATAAGAAGATATTACACATCAGTTTTCTTGGAATGGTTTAGAGCCTTGCGGTTTTACAATATGGACCACATGGCTGTGGTAAGTACATGTGTTTTTTCATTGGTAGAATATTTAGATATATTTTTATTTGTGTTGTAGGCACATGATGGACAGGTTCTACGAAGTACTAGCAAATGTATTTCATACAGTCCCTAAATACCATATGAAAATTTTGTTAGGAGATTTCAGTGCCAAAGGAGGTAAGGAAGATATTTTGAAACCAATGACCGGGAATGAGAGCTTTCATGAAATCAGTAATGATAATGGAGTTAAAGTAGCAAACTTTGCCACATTGAAAAATTTACTGTCAAAAGTACAATGTTCCCAGATCAGAACATCCATAAATTTACTTGGACATCTCCTGATGGAAAGACACACAACCAAATTGACCATATTTTGATAGATAGGGGACAGCATTCAAGTATACTTGATGTCTGATCATTCAGGGCAGCAGATTGTGATACTGACCACTATCTGGTCATGGCAAAAGTTATGGAGAGGGTGGCAGTGAGCAAACAAACAACACAGAGAGTTCATATGGAGAGGTTCCATCTCAAGAAATTAAATGAGGTAGAGGGTAAGGAACAGTATCGTGTTGAAATCTCAAATAGGTTCGAGGTTTTGGAAAACTTAGACACTGAGGTGGGTGTTAATAAATCTTGGTAAACTATTAGAGAAAATATAAAAATTTCTGCCAAAGAGAGTCTAGGTTATTATGAACTGAAGAAGCATAAGCCATAGTTAGATGAGCAATGCTCAGAATTATTAGAACAAAGGAAACAAGCCAAATTGTAGTGGTTACAGGATCCAAGCGAGTTAAATGGGGATAATCTGAACAATATAAGACGTGAAACCAGCAGGCATTTCAGGAACAAAAAGAGGAAATATCTGAAAGACAAAATTGATGAGCTTGCAATGAACAGTAAGAACAAGAATATTAGAGACCTGTATAGAGGAGTAAATGACTTTAAAAGGGGTTACCAACCTAGCAGTAACTTAGTGAAGGATGAGAATGGTGATCTGCTTGCAGATTCCCACAACATTTTGAATAGGTGGAGGAACTACTTCTCTCAGTTATTTAATGTACATAGGGTCAGTGCTGTTAGGCAGAGAGAAATTCATACAGAAGAGCCAATAGTACCTGATCATAGCCCTTTTGAGGATGAAATTGCTACTGCGAAGTTGGAAAGGTATAAATCCCCAGTTAGTGATCAAATCCCGGCAGAACTTATTCAAGCAGGAGGCGAAATATTATGTTCTAAGATCCACAATCTAATTACTTCTATTTGGCATGAAGAAAAATTGGCTGATCAGTGGAAAGAGTCTATTATTGTACCAGTTCACAAGAAGGGTGATAAAACTGACTGTAGTAATTATCGGGGGATATCACTGCTATCAACTTCATACAAAATTTTATCCAATGTTCTTCTCTCAAGGTTAAGTCCATTGGGAATCATCAGTGTGGGTTTCGACGTAACAGATCAATTACTGATCAGATCTTTTGCATTTGTCAGATATTAGAGAAAAAATAGGAGTACAGCAAGACAGTACACCAGCTATTCATAGACTTCAAGAGAGCCTATGATTGAGTTAGGAAGGAAACATTGTACAATATTCTGATAGAGTTTGGGGTACCCATGAAATTAGTTAGGCTGATTAAAATGTGTTTAAACGAAAAGTATAGTAAAGTTCTTCTGGGTAAACATTTGTCTGAAACATTTCCTATCCAGAATGGTCTAAAAGAATGAGGTGCTTTATCGTCACTAATTTTCAACTTTGCTTTAGAATATGCCATTAGATAGGTCCACAAAAACTAGGTGGGACTGAAACTAAATGGGACACATCATCTGCTGGTCTATGCTGATGAGTAAATCTTCATTTCATTCATCAGTAATCTGTCAGATGACAAGTCCACAGTCTCTTCCAAAACAGTTCCTCCACTTAATGCGATCTTCTGTTTTTGGAAAGAGACTATCCAGGAAAAGTGATAATGTGGTAGTTTTCCCATTTGTTTTCCACATTGCAGCACAACAGCCGTTCAAACCACTCTGGTCACCAAAAACTGATGCCGGGGTAAATCTACTGTGTAATAATGTAGATACCATACAGAAAAACACACAAACTTTAATTGATACTGGTAAGGAGGTTTGTCTAGAAGTAAACACAGAGAGAACTAAGTATATGTTGCTGTCTTGTCACCAAAATTCATGGCAAAATCATGACATAAAGATAGGTAACAGATGTTTTGAAAATGTGGCACAGTTCAGATATTTTGGAACAATTGTAACAAATCAAAAAACCTGATTCAGGAGGAAATTAAAAGGAGATTGAACTCCGGTAATGCTTGCTACCATTCAGTCCAGAAGCTTTTGTCATCTTGTCTGCCATCTACAAACATAAAAATTAGAATATACAAAATTATAATTTTGCCTGTGGTTCTGTATAAGTGTGAAACTTTGGCTCTGACATTAAGGGAGGAACATAGACTGAGGGTGTTTGAGAACAGGGTGTTGAGGAGAATATTTGGACTGAAGAGAGATGAAGTGACAGGAGGTTGGAGAAAACTGCACAATGAGGAGCTTCGTAACTTGTACTCTTCTCCCAGTATAATTAGAATGATCAAGTCAAGGAGGATGAGGTGGGCAGGGCATGTAGCACGAATGGGGGAGAAGAGGAATGCATATAGGTTATTTGTGAGAAAGCCAGAATAAAAGAGACCACTAGGAAGACCAAGACATAGGTGGGTGGACAATATTAAAATAGATATTAAGGAGATAGGATGGGATGGTATGGAGTGGANCTCCCAGTATAATTAGAATGATCAAGTCAAGGAGGATGAGGTGGGCAGGGCATGTAGCACGAATGGGGGAGAAGAGGAATGCATATAGGTTATTTGTGAGAAAGCCAGAATAAAAGAGACCACTAGGAAGACCAAGACGTAGGTGGGTGGACAATATTAAAATAGATATTAAGGAGATAGAATGGGATGGTATGGAGTGGCTTGATGTGGCTGAGGATAGGGACTAGTGGAGGGCTCTTGTGAACACAGTAATGAACTTTTGGGTTCCATAAAATGTTGGGAAGTTCTTGAGTAGCTGCACAGTTGGTGGCTTCTCTAGAAGGGCTCAGCTCTGTGAGTGAGTGAGTCATAAACACAGGGATAAGTTATTATTCCCATGGCTGATCGCGGGGAAGCAAAGTTGGCCCATTTGATTCCTTTTGGCATAGCCATTTGTGAAGTTGGAGGCAACGTTTACATAACCTCACCCATTCTCAGAAGTGCTATAATTAAAATGGTTCTTTCACATGGTGGTGTACTGGAGAAGAATGGTACAGTTTACAACTTTGGTATCTTCCTCCTTCTCCCCCCCCCCTCTGCAACAACGAAGTCTGGCCACAGTTTTACTGTGGATCTGTCCTGCAAAATTGGGCA